GGACAACCAATGGTAAAGGTGTCCTCCATCACCGTAAGAAAGTGGATTTAAACTAGAGCAGATGAGTCTGCACACATATTAGGTTTTAGTTGCTAGAGAGTGATACAAAGATACATGCATATAATCTGAACTTACTGATAAGGTCAGTTCTGTCCAGCAGTAACTCTAAATCTTTGTCAGATATTACTTTTTCTCTTGATCCCTTAATCTCTCTGTAAAACAAAAGAAATAGCATTAATTTGAAAATGAAAAACAGTTTGAATGCAATTTAATGCATGTTGACTGCATTCATGGGTTCAATAGGGCGTTATTTCCTTGCATATGTTTACAATTGCAGTTAACTTACAAGGGTGTTTCTGTGCCAACCCGATCCACATGTATTTAGCAATTATGCTCTTCTTACACACTTTATGCTAATAACGCTTATCATACCTATCATAGTCCCTGGATTGTAGCAATTCCAGTAACTCCTTGGGATCCAAGCAACTCTTTGACTGGTTTACTCCAAATTTTCCACCTTTAAATTGATCTTGAAGATAGACCAATAAATAGATAAATAAAAATCTTAGTGAGTACATTGCTATTTTATCAATGTTCTTTATGCACAAACCGCAGCTTCAAAATTATTAGTTCAGAACCATTCTACTCCAAATCATCTCAATAAAAACCGACATAATTAAAAATCTAATAAAACCTTGAGAAGTATTTTGCAAAAAAAAAAATGCAAGAAGTGTTGAAATAAGACATGCGATCTTCACATTTAGATTCACATTAGAACTGATGGAACAGAACCATTATTAACTCAGTTTGCTGTACAATTAATATTAAAAAACCTAACTGTGAGCATTGGATTTGGCCAAATCATGAACCAAACTAGACTGATTTGGGGGGATTCCTGAAAGGAGGTGAGGCCATTTCAGAAGTGTCTGAATATGAAACACTCCAGTAAGAATTTCAGATTTGGAATGACACAGAACATTATTACACTGTGCCTAAAAAAAACCAATATATTTTCCTCCAACCTCTCTATATTAGAATTCCAGGCTTGGGACATGAATAATGGAGAAGAGGGGATGCAGTTTTGTAACTGAAATTTCAAGTTTTTAATTCAAATCAAATTCTATGCTTGCTTTACACCCCTACAAACACAGAGACACAAACCCTCTGTTTGTAAGGACTCTGCTTTTATTTTATTACCCAACCTGTAACATATTAAGCCAACTTAATTGTTACACAGATATAAGCTAAGGCAAGACCCTCTTGCCTGCTCTTGGTAATTTTCACCATCTGATTTCTGAACAATAATCTGAATGATTCCATTATAATCCCTCAACATTTTCATTTCATTTAATCCCGCCTTACTCCCCTAGGGGAAACCCAAGGCGAGATACAAACCTATTGGGTAACAACTATGGATTTTTTGATGTTAGTACAGTGGTGCCCCGCACAGCGAGGTTAATCCGTTCCGGATTAACCTTCGCTATGCGAAAACATCGCTGTACGGGCAAGGAAAGCCTATTGGAACGCATTAAACTTAGTTTAATGCGTTCCAATAAGCGTCCAAACTTACCCCTCCAGCAATGTTTTCGCGTCCGGCGGCCATTTTGGAGCCGCCAATCAGCTGATCGGCGGCTCCAAAATGGCTGCCGGACGCCCCAATCGTTGTAAAGCGAGTGCGGCGATTGGGGGAGATCCGTATAGCGATCCCCAAAAAGGGATCGCTATACGGATTCTTCGTTAAACGGTGCGCTCGTTAAGCGAGGCACCACTGTACTGGAATCTACCCTGGAATACCCATGAAAGGATATCTCATTTTTCTGATGGAGAAGGCTACAATCCGTTAAAATGCATGCTCAGATAAATTGGCCAGTATTTCAAGATGTCACAAGACTCTTATTGCTTTGAATGTAACAGACCAAACCTGCTGCACCTGTGAAATACTAATGTAGGACTACTAATACATACAAGCAAAACATATACATGTTAAAATTATCCTTAATGGTCCAACAATACACACACACACACAATTTTTTTCTCACTTTTGTGAATAATCAGCTTCTCCAGCTTCCTTTTGGCAGCTGCTCTTTCCACGATCTTTTGGTCAATGGTATTTGCAGTGACAAAGCGATAAACCACCACAGGCTTTGTCTGACCAATTCTATGGCATCGGTCTTGGGCCTGAAGATCAGACTGGGGATTCTGAGAAGCAAATATGTGACAAGGATTTCAGTAAATTATAAATTCTACCACAAAGCTCAGACAACTATTTCAACTTTTTCCAGGCAAGTGTAGGTTATCTCAAAGGAAAGAATTTGGGCCTCTTTTCAAAAACTTGGCCAAATCAAAGAAGTGACAAGTGTTTTGAGAGATCTCACAAGAGTGGTGAATTTGTAGCTATTTATTATGAAAAAAGGCAGAATATTTCTATTCCTGATGCTGCTTAATCGGAGCCTATTTTAAAAACATCTTACGAACATATGACCATTGACTTGACCATTAGTTTACCTAGCCCAGGACTGTCTGCTCTGACTAACAGAAAGGGTGCAAGACATTGGTAAAAAAAAAAAAACTACTATAAACCAGGTGGAAATGTGCAGAACAAGCTATATGGTTCCATCTGGACACAAGAAATAGTGAATTTTCTCCATAAAACTTTGAAGTTATTCAGTAGTGTGACTTGTAAGGAGCCTTGCAGTACACTGGTTAAATTGCAGTACTGCTTACTACCTGAGTTCGATCCTAATGGGCTCAGGTAGCTTGCTTGAGGCCGATTCAGCCTTCCACCCTTTCAAGGTCAGTAAATTGAGTACCCAACTCATGGGCAGGGGCAATGTGTAGCTTGCATAATTAAATTTCAAATTGCCCAGACAGTTCTTTAAGTGCTATGGGGGAGGAGAGGGGTATATAAGCAGCATGTTTTGCTTTGCGTTTTGTGAGCAACGGATGTTGGCATGCTGAAGCAAAACCAGAAAGACTTTTCCAGCAGACTTCAACCTACATTTAAAGGGAAAGAAACTATGGCTATACAGTTGTCCTCCAAAGAGCATCTCATCATGCTCAAAGCAACTGCACCAGGCTTCAGGGACGTTTTGCTGGGCTCTGGCCTGCTGCCAAACACATAATATCTCTAAAACCCCATGTTCTTCTGTGGAGCTCAGCACATAGCCCATTCGTATCAGGGCCCATCTCCATTTAAGTGTCATGATGCAAAACATACCCAGTCGCTATCATAAATGATTACTGTATCTGCTGCAGTCAGATTAATGCCAAGGCCTCCAGCCCGTGTGCTCACGAGAAAGATAAAAACTTCTGGATCTGAATTAAAGTTATTCATCTATAAAAGACAGAAACCAAATCAAATAAAAGGACATGCTACCCAAGCAAAACACAGAAACACAAAGCCAGCAAATATCTGGTTTGTCCTCCAACATTAAGGCATCCAAAATAAGATACAATGGTACCTCGACTTACGAACTTAATCCGTATTGGAACGGTGTCCGTACGTCGAAAAGTTCCTGAATTAAAGTTATTCATCTATAAAAGACAGAAACCAAATCAAATAAAAGGACATGCTACCCAAGCAAAACACAGAAACACAAAGCCAGCAAATATCTGGTTTGTCCTCCAACATTAAGGCATCCAAAATAAGATACAATGGTACCTCGACTTACGAACTTAATCCGTATTGGAACGGTGTTCGTACGTCGAAAAGTTCGCAAGTCGGGGCAAAATTTCCCATAGGAATGCACTGAAAACCATTTAATCCGTTCCGGCTGTTTTTCATTCTTATGTCGAGGCGCTGTTCGCAAGTAGAGGCATTAGTTCCCATAGGAACTAATGCAAAGCCGGTTAATCTGTCCTATACCACTAGGGGGAGATATTTTTTATTTTTTTTTTCTTCTTTTGACCTAAGATGAACTTAGGTCAAAAAAAGGGCAGGAAAGTTTTTTTCGTTTGTAAGTCGAAGCAAAATTTTGCGATCGGAGCCGTTCATAACTCAAAATGTTCGTAAGTAGAGACGTTTGTAAGTCGAGGTACCACTGTAACTTGTTGGACATTACCAGGCTAATGTGTTGTAGACACTCTGATGTGTTGTTGACTTGACAATTACAGGTCAGGAGAAGATGACCTTGGTCCTCCCCTCAGTCCCAGACAACATGAGCAATGCTTCATGGAAGACCTGACAGTCATATCTTTCCCTAGTGAACAGTCATCCAACTGATAAAACAAGGACCAACTGATAAAACAAGGACCAACCTCCCACACAACACATTTCAGAATCCTGGTAAAGCAAGATGACATTGGCTAAAATCCAGTAGTAAACTGCAAATGGAGCAGGCCCATTGAATCCATCGGGATCTGGTGTGTGAATAACTATGTACGTTTCACTGATATAACAGACCCACTCTAGTTGCAACTTACTATTGGATTTTAGTCAATTATGTTAGACAGGTATAATTGAAAGATCGTCATATTTTGAAAAGGAAATGCAACCAGAACTCTTTCCATATCCCCATTAATCTGGGAAACATTTCCTTCAACTCTATTAACCAATATATGTAGAATCAGAAAACACACTTATGAAGGAAAAAAAATGTAATGCAGTGGTACCTCGACTTACAAACTTAAACTGTATTGGAACGACATTCGTACGTCAAAAAGTTTGTAAGTCGAAGCACCATTTCCCATTAAAATGCATGGGAACAGAATTAATCCGTTCCAGCATTTCAATTAATCCGTTCCAGCATTTCCCACCCTTTCTCCCTGCCTTTTTGGCTTCGGAGGTCTCAAACGGCTTCCTCCGATAGCGAAGGGGAAAGCCCTTTGAGAGCTCCAAAAGCAAAAAGGCAGGGAGAAAGGGCTGAAATTCAAATTTCCCACCCTTTCTCCCTGCCTTTTTGGCTTCGGAGGTCTCAAACGGCTTCCTCCGATAGCGAAGGGGAAAGCCCTTTGAGAGCTCCAAAAGCAAAAAGGCAGGGAGAAAGGGCTGAAATTCAAATTTCCCACCCTTTCTCCCTGCCTTTTTGCTTTTGGAGCTCTCAAAGGGCTTCCCCCCAACATCAAAGCCCTTTTGAGAGCTCTGAAGCCAAAAAGGCAGGGAGAAAGGGTGGGAAATTTCCAGCTCTTTCTCCCTACCTTTTTGCAGGGAGCCATTTACAAACGGCTCCGTTGTCAAAAAATGGTATTGACTTGCGAATGGAGCCTCAACCTCATTCATAGGTTGAGCTCTGTTCACAAGTTGTTGCCAATTTTTGCCAACAGAGCTGTTCGTCAATCGAAAAGTCCGTATGTAGGGCCATTCATAAGTCGAGGGTTGACTGTACTGCAATGTGTTTATATTGCTTTTCTTCCTTCACTATATTTTACATCAAAGCATCTTGATATGTGTTCTAATAAAGGATAACATGGAGCTTTCTTATTCAGTTTAAAACACTATACATTGCCATCCTTACAACAGTGGAAAATGGATCAGGATAATCCTGTCACGTATGCTAAGGCCACCCCCTTGCGAGTGCATGGCAGAGTCCAGAGAGGAGCCAGAGGTTCCTTGAGCAACAGCTCCATCCAGCTGACTGTGTGCCACAGCAGCTCTTGCGTATTACCACCAGGATTCTGTTCCCATCCTGACATCACAAACCATGATGGTGTACAACAAGTCTTCCACCAACCCACCCAGGCTAAGCTTACACCTCCAAGTCACCTACGTTTTCCTCCCTTTCTGCATAGGACATGCTTCCATCCAGGCGGCTGAACTGGTAATTCCTCAAATAGCAGTAGTCCATCAAAATATCCAACATCTGAGTCATCTGTGAGAACAACAGTACCTAGAGAGAGTGCAAGAGTCCTTGGTAATCCTTCCCTCAAAACATTTAAGTAAATTTTTGGCCTAGGCCACAAACAATACCTTGTGTCCCCGCTTTTTTAGTTCTGGCAGCATGCGATCCAAGAGTAGAAATTTGCCGGAACTTTTCACCAGATCCTCATCAACCTTGATGTGAAGGAGGGGAAACAAATTTTAGGATGCTCTGATAAAATCACAACTCCATTTGGAAGTCCAAACTTTCACATATTCGTCCTTCTTGCGCATTTGGTGATGTCTGCAAAGATGTCCCCATTTTCTCCCAAACCATGTTATTAAACACCAGGCTGTCAGTGACTAATTGGAACTTACAGTACACGGGGTACACGCGGTAGATGGCTCACCGAGGAACCTAGGGACAGCAATACTTGTGCTAGTATGTTTAACGAGAAGGCTACTTTTGCAAGAACAAAAGCAAGGCGAGGGACTTTTCCTCAGCTATCCAACTGGCCCCTCAGCCAGGATGAAACCCCCTTCGCCAACCTGCTGACCATTTTTATAGTTTTTGTAAATGAAACTGTATAAGGAAAACAAAAACCCAAATAATAGTGTGTTTTAAGCAGCACAAAAGTGAAAAAAAAACCCAACAAAAGGACAATCCAGCAGACGCAAGCCAAATCCGATACTAAAAGGTTCAGAAGTCCAGTAAAAGTAAACCAAATTCATCTGGTTTATGCTTCCTTCCATTGCTTTGCTATTTTTAAAACATGCACAATCCTTCCCTCCTTGTGTGCCCTTTCCTCTTTGCTTTCCACCCCAGAAGCACATCTCTTTCTTGCCCGTCTTCTGCAACATGGTGCTTTCTTTGCTGAAAACGAGCTGCCTCCATCACAGCCACAAATCCCACCCATCCCCCACTCAAGTCTGTGCTGAGGAGAAAACTTCATTCCAGAGGTTCTTTCCTATTCTGACCAATGGGTTTTATATATGTATGTATAGAAAACAAACACAAGAGGCAGAGTTATTGAAAAGAGAAGCTGAACCTCAGCAAAGAGAAGGGTTGGTACTGAAAGTGGACTCCTGCTAGGCTGTGCTCAGGCTCAGACAAAACCCGGGATAGGCCTACAGGAAGGGAGTTGAATTGCTGCTGGTGGTGGGGATACAATGGTGCCTCGCTTAACAAGCGCACCGTTTAACGAAGAATCCGCATAGCGACCCATTTTTTTGGGTCGCTAATGCGATCGCATTGCGATGTTTAGATAGGCTAAACATCACATTGCGATCATTTCTGCACCCGGCGGCCATTTTGGGAACAGCTGATCGGCGGTACCAAAATGGCCGCCGGATGCAGAAAATGGCTGCTCGTACCATTTTCACGCCCTGCCCTCGCTTACCGAGGGTGCGAAAATGACGGCGCTATGGAGAAACTTCACAGAACTGTGAGGTTAAGAGCCATAGGAACGCATTAAACTAAGTTTAATGCGTTTCTATGGCGTTTTCCGTTCCGTATAGCGATGTTTCCTCATAGCGACGGTTAATCCAGAACGGATTAACCTCGCTATGCGGGGCACCACTGTACTTTTGTGAACAAAGGAAAGGTAAGAGTTAAAGAAACTGGGGGATTAAGGGAATCTTCTGTTCTTTAGTTATGTACAAGATACTTGCTAGGGAGAGAGATGCTCTTGAAAAAGTGAAGTGCAGGAACTCAGGTCTATAGAGAAGCTCATGTGGGCTTATTAGCCCCTTTTTTCCATTGGGCTAAGATGGAGAGGGCCAATGGGTCTGTGTGTTTTTTAATTACTGTTTGCTCCCAAGCCCAGCTGAAGTATGTACACACCTTATTGTGTAACTATTTCAAAAGGTTCTCCCACCAGTAGCCAACCAGCAACCATAAGCTTTCTTTGATTTCTTTACAGGCCAGGTTTAATGGAAAACTTGTAAATATTTTAACACTTGAAAACTTGGTGGCAGACATCTCCCTTTCACTGGAGACCAAGGCACTACTGTATTCCCAGTTATCATGTATGGATGTGAAAGATGAGGAGAGAAGAAAGTCAACAGGAAAAAAAAATAGATTCATTCAAAATACAGGGAGAGAGGAAAGCTTTACAGATGCCTTGGACTGCCAGAAAGACAAATAGGTGGGTGCTCCTTCAAATCACGCCTGAACTCTCTTTAGAAGCCAAATTGACTAATCTAAGGTTTATCATACTTTTGGGCACATTATGACAACACAAGTTGGAAAGGACAATAATGCTAGGAAAAGTTCGAGGCAACAGGAAAAGAGAAAGAACAGGTGTAAAATGGAATGACTGAATAAAGAAAGCCACAGCCTCTAGTCTGCAAGATCTAAGCAGGGCTGTTGATGAAAGAATCTTCTGGGGGGTCACTCGTGCACAGGGTTGTAATAAGTCGGAGGAGACTTGCTGGCATATAAACAAAACAAAAAACACTCCTATTTTTTTTTCTAAAGAAAAAAAAAGGCAGTGAACCGTTCCCATCCTCCACTACTGGTTATATTAACATTAATTATGTGCTGTTAAGTCAGATCAGCTTGCCCAAGGCCACACAGGATGCCTCTTCTGGGATGCAGTGGGGGAATCAAACTGTCAGCCTCTGGCTCCGCAGTCAGATACCCAACATAACACTTGGTCCTCAAAAATATAATTATACAAAGCAAACTGTACAAGCATGCTATATTTATAGACCAGTTTTTCAAGCCAGCAGGCATAAAATTATAAACCCAAATGTGTTAATATTAACTTGGAAGCTCTGAATATTAACACTACACCCACTCATGGCAACTGGACTTCTTCCCTTATTAAGGTGAAATGTTTCACTATCCATCCAAGTAGCTTCTTCAGTCTGAGGAGAGCTGGTACCACCACACCCACCAGAAAGACCACTGTTAACGAGTGTTAATGACCCATGACAATGGGTGGAGAAAGACTGCAGAGGTGGGATTTTCACTCACCCAAACCCCCCTCCCTTGTCCATCTAACCACCCTATTCAGACACCAGGGGGAAGTGAAACCAACAGGGAGGATATATCAGGGGTCTCCTGCCAACTCTCCTCAGACTGAAGAAGCTACTTGGATGAGTAGCGAAACATTTCAGTCTAATAAGAAAGAAGTCCCGTTGCCATGACTCAGCTTCCAGGTAACCTCCCCTGGATGTCTTGAGAATCTTCACAGATATACCGTATTTTTCGCTCCATAAAAAGCACCTTTCCATAAGACGCACCAACTTTTTAGGAGAAGAAAACAGGAAAATATAATGTTTTCTTTGCTCCATTAGACGCACAGACTTTCCACCCCCGTTTTGTGGGAAAAAGTGCGTCTTATGGTGCGAAAAATACGGTAATATGCCCAATGTTTACACTGTAAATTAATATATCAAAGGATTTGGTGCACACACTAGATGCTTCACTCAAAATCGTACTCTAATGCCTCTGAGTTGTTCTTCACCCACTGCACTGGAGAAATTTAAAGTCAGACATACTTTTTGAAAACTGCTCTCTGCAGAAAGGTTACTCTACAAATAAATCACGTAAAGCTCTTCAGAAATACTGAATCAACGCAAGTCTTTCCACTGTCTAGTAGCACAATTCTATAAAGTCTACCCAGAAATACATTTAACTTCAGAGGGGTTTACTCCTAGTTAACTGGGTACAGGACTGGACTGCAGCCTGAAGCACTTACCTTAAACTGTTGTGTTGCAGGATCCAGTGGATATTCAATAAGATATGCATGGTTGCAACACTTCCTGAGTAACATCATAATGTTCTGCAGCTTCAGGTTGACTTCTGAATCCAAAGGCATATTCATTTCTACTACTGGCCTTCTAAATGATAGGTGAGTTTGTAAGGATGATTGTATAACATTACAACTAAATGCAGACAGAATTCAGCCACGATAAATGAATATTACAAACAAAGCAGAGATATAAAAGCCATGGGGGAAAAGATAGGGGAAACAACATTTCCTCCCCTACTCATCTCAGGACTTTTTTTGTCCAAAAAATGAAATAAGGTGACTTTTTTGGATTCTCAAACATTTTGTTTTAGAATGATGAATAAGGTGCTTAAATATTCACAGACTGCTGCTTGTCCAGAACTGCTGACCACACTCAGGACTTGATCTTGGATGAAACTATCAAATGTTGAACATGACATAATAACTTCGGGTACTGGATACAGAAATGCAATCTGCCAAGCAGAGCCTTCTGAAAGCATGATGGGAGAAGACAGCCTCTGATGCCGTTTGCTTCTTACCTTCTTCAGACTCCCCCACTTTTAGTACAAGATCAGGATTTATGGAAATACCTTGAAAATAATAAATCCGTTTACCTTGTGCTGTTAAGTTATATCTAAATGCTATTGATTTCCATGCGGAAACAAAAACTGCAAAGGGCACAAGGTATCATTATATAAGTACCTCTCTTTTTCAACTTCTTCCTGCATTTTATTCATCAATTCTTCCAGCTTATCTGGAAAATCCTCTTCACCAGGTTCACGGTAGCAAACTACTTTTCGACTGCGCCGCTTGGGTCGACCTGTAGGACTCAGCTCGACAACTTCTTCCTACAGAATGGAATACCAGCTGTCACTGCTACAATGCATCACACACAAGGCAGTCAAGGTCCGTGCGCTACACGCTCTGCTCAAATATTATACTAGGCCTTTTATCCATTACACACAATAACTGGAACATACAGTGGAGTCTTGACTTAGTCAGCGCCACTTACGTACTTTTTGACCTATGGACTTCTCCGGTGGCAAAATTTTACTTCGACTTGCAGCCGGAGAATCGACCTACGAGCCAGAAGGGGGAGGCGGGGGGAGAGG